AAGCAGAAAGCTTGCCATGTGGATGATGCACAGCCAAGGGGGGCCCTGTGCACACATTGCAGGGTGCTCTGGAGGCTCCCTCTGTCTGCTAGGAGATAGATGGTAGCAATACACAGGGGAGCCCTGACTGGCCAACCCAGACTGCTCATGGTCAGTCCGTATCTCCCTGCAGCACTCTGTGGGGATTGTGAAGAAGGTGTATTCTGCTCCCTGCTCTGTTTGAGCACTAGAGTCCAGCCGGAGTGACAGACTCCAAGGGGATTAGGAGGCAGAAGCAAAGCAACCCTGGGATGCCATCTAGCTTGCAGGAGTCCCCATGGGTCCAAAAATATGGCAGCAGGAAAGCAGTGGCAGCAATTACCAGTCCCTTGCTGCCAAATTTCTGGCTCTGTGGGGAGCCCTGCTGGATGGATAGCATGCTGGATAAGTGCATGGACATGGCCTGGGGTCAACCTAGGCACACAGCTGCTGGCTAGAGGTAGTACACGGCTCAATACTTCAGCGTGGGGCTGACCAGAGGTGGTATAGAGTTGAGGGAGACAGTGCGGTACCCCAAGGAAGCATCATGGGTGATATGGAGTCCAAGAGAGGTCATGCAGAGTGAAGGGAGGAAGCATGGGCACTGCGGAGCCCCAAGAAGGTGGTACAGGAAGTACAGAGCTGGGAAGGTGGTGTGGAGCTTGAGGTGGCATACGTGTAGAGCCAAGGGAGGAAGTGCAGAGCCCCAGGGAGGTGGTGCAGGGTTGGAAGAGATGATGCAGAGCCAAAGGGAGGCAGCACAGTGCCCCAGTCTAACTACAAAGGGCTGAGGGAGGTGGCATAAGGCCCTATCTGGTGGTGGGCCCAGCAGAGGTCGTGTGGGGCTGACCCTGCCACGTGGGTTTCAATCCAGCCCATAGATGGGCTCCGTGCCACTCATTTGGCCTGCCACACCAAAAGGTTGAGCACCCCTGTATTAAAGCATGTATACTTTTCTCCAAATTGTGAACAGATATGCAAGACTCTCCCCTAAGTTTTTCTTGCTGTTAAAATGCCACTTGCAGGAAATTCAGAATCTGATTTCTCTTTTGACTGTCCAGATTTACCATTCCAACAACTCCATTAACTGGACGCACAAGTTCAGTTTAATGAAAAATTCTACGTTCTATTTATTCTGGTAAGTTTGACACATGCACATCAACACCAAGGTTAAGCAATGTCCCAGCTCTGGTTCACTCTTCTATAAAAGCCAAGCTGTGGCTGGTGTTCAATGGGCGTGGACCAGTCTCCTATATTAGGCAATATTGAGAATGCAGTTGTACAAATGAAGAACCTGGAAACTCAGAAGGTAAATTCTGTTATCTGATCTCTCAAAATAATTGTCAAGCCTACACACGAAGTCATGTTTCAAAACGTGCAGCTTCAAAAGCATGAGTAAGTTTTCACCAAAAGGGCTTCACAGACCATTCTTTTTCAATCTTTAGTTTCTTGATAGCCATTAAGAGATGTGCACTACCGAGAACGATTAAAAAAAAATAAGCACACTATAGGAATAACTGATAAGGAGGTAAGCATAGCTTCCTTTTATGATACAGTAAAATGTATCTCCACCCCAAAGACCAAATATTTTTCCATTTTTTATTAGAAGCTACTATATCAAAAACACAGGACCTTCAGGTTATAAACGTTTTTGAAAAATATGCTACAGAAATTAATCCTATAAAAGTTTCCCAGATTTAGGACCGTGCAAGAGTGATACGCATGCAAGCAGATGTAATAAGACAACCTCTTACTGCAGGAATAGAGAATCCCTTTGTATATCTTTGTACTCATTTAAAACAAATACAAAGGATTTATGTAAGAGAAAAACCCAGGTTCTAGAGAACAGGATGAAATACAGTGCAAAGATATGCAAACCCCACTATGTATTCATACAGTACCTGGGTGCTGAATCTGTGAACATCATCAGAGGCACTGACTAGATCAATGGAAGACATGGAGGAAGAGCGACTATAGGGCTACCAGAGACAGACAAAGAAAAAACCAAGTAATCAGAACAAAGGCACAACAGAGCATTCAGTACCAACTTCCAAGCACAAGATAATGAAGAAAAGGAAAAACAAAAGCACCATAAGCAGCAAGCACAGCAGCAAATGCTGATTTCATGCAACTATTATGTATTATACTCCCAGTGTAGCCCTGCGAAGATTGTAGTGTTTCCAGTAACTGTGCAAATTGTCAAATAAGCCATCACAAAGCTTTATTTTAATCAGTTTGGTGATTTAAAAAAAAAAAGTTATTAAAGAGGGAGTCCTTTAAAAGGATAAAAAAGTTCCAGGCACAATTATTTTTAAAATTCAATAAGCTATGACAAAAGTCAGGAGTATTTTAAATAGCTGTTCAAATTAAGAATTTTTTGTTCTCAATAAGAAAAAAGTTTCCCCCAATTTTTGGAGACTGACTGTTAATAAGTAACACATTCAAAGTTACTAGAAGCATCTACAAATTAGATCTCAAGCCATGACAAAATGTATTACTAAATAAACATACTAGGTAGACTTAAAAAAAAATCTGTGAAAGTATCTTACCTTCTGGACAAACCTATGAGTCCCCACAGCAGAGTATGCATCACCAGAAGGTAAAGGTGTCGGCCAGTGTAATCTGACCTTTTCACTCTGAGACTAAAACAAAACATTAAATTTAATCAGTGTGGAATAACTATTTGGTAGACCATAAAATAGTTGTTCATATAGAATGAGACAATAAATCACAAGGTAAAAAGGGATACTCTGCACAACTAGCATTAATAGGCATCTTTGGTGGCAAGTCTCAATGACTTGATTTACATGGACACTGCATTGCCTGTGTCCAGCAGTGGTTGCTTCTAAGTTAAGAACAACTGATAAGACAGTGGGTGCATCTACACATGTTCTTTACTGCGGAGTTGAGTAATTAGCTCTGCAGTCAAGTGTCACAGTCTACATGTGTGCTGGTATTTAGGTATTAATTTACTTCATCATAGGATAGTACTGTCAGGGACAGTACTGGCTGGGGCAAGAGCGTGCTAAAGTGTGGTGCTCTGCCTGTCACCTAGTCTCACACTTTAGCACCCTTGTGCCCCTGCCAGCCTCTCTGCCACCCAGAGTTGACCCCCCCAGGTGCCCTATCAGCCTGGAGCTGTTCTGCCCTGGCTCATAGTTCTACAGTCCTGGGTGCATGTGCAAACACTGCACCCGGGAGCAGTTTTCTCCAACAGGAAGTACTCTGGAGTTTAACATGTTACATTAATTGGGCATGTAGATACACCCTCCATGGAGAAAGTTACAATGCAGTGAGATAGTCACTCACTTTTACCTGAAGCTAAAATAACCTGGAAAATGTACTTAAGTACACACAGAAAACACATCAGTTAAAATCCCAAACCAATACCAAAATGCTATTCACAACTATTATACAGGCAGTCCTCGATTTGCAACGTTCCAAGTTACAACGTTTCGCACTTACAAAGTTTATAAAATTGACACCCTGTTTCAACTTTCTGATGTCAGTTTCGACTTTACAATGCTTGATCCAATTCGATGCCACGCCAGCAAACAAGTTCGTTGCATTGTCCATCTCCTTGGAGAACATCTGTCCAAACTTCCTTGGACACTTTCGTTAAGAAAGTAGACAAGACTCCAGAAAATCTTGCAGCCAAACTCCTGAGAAGACTCCAGGCAAGAACCCTTCAAAAAGTCCAACCAAGAGCCCTTCAAAAAGTCCAGCAAAGTCACTTTTAAGAAGTCCTTCCAAATCAATACGATTGCTATTTAGAATATAAATACATTAATGTAGCTATATTACTCATCTATAATTGATCGATACAAAATTCTGGGTTATTTTTTTTGATGAAAATAGGGTATTTGGTTCCTGAACCACGGCCCATCCCCCATTTATAACATTGCTTCCTATGGGAAAATTGGTTCCGAGTTGCAACGTTTTGACTTAAGACACAGATTTTAGGAACCAATTGTGTTGTAAGTTCGAGGACTGCCTGTACCACTATTCTGTATGCTACTTCACATTTGTATGTTCTGTGGAAAAAAAAAAAAAAAAAAAAAGTGTCATCCCATGCAACTGAACTTGCTGTATTTTTGAATAGCCAATTGCAGAAGCAAGGAACAGAAAGTGTCTTGACATAAGACTTAGGAAGGTGGCAGCAAAGCTTGCAGAAATGAGAAGAGAGAGGGAGCAATTAAACAGCAAATCTGTTGTTTTATGGGGTCACTAAAAGTAATGGAAACTTCACCTAGTAACAGGTAGATCTGACAAACTTCATGTAGGATATTAATTTAAGAAGAACAAAATGTGAGATTTTGTACTGGATTTGCCATTTATTTCTATTAATAACTAAAAAATAGATTTGAAGACAGAGACGGACTGACCCAAGTTAACATTTAGGCTGCCATGCCGCAAGAATAAAAAGTTAGAGCGTGCTATCATTGTGGGCCCAATGTCTCAAATCTAAAAATAGTCTTAAGGAAACAAATGACAAAAAAGGAAATGAACTCAAGAGATTTTTGGTTTTTTGTTTTTTAAACTTGACAAATTCCAGGAACTAAACTTTGCTTACAGGTGTTCACAAACATTTCAATAAAATTGGCAAGTTGCGCACATACAGCCTGCCACAATTTGGTCCAGAAGACACCCTTACGATTTTAGTATGAAGTAGAGCATTTATGAAATAGTGTTTTTAAACATAACTGCCTTGTAAAACATGTAGTAATATTAAATACCTGTTCCTCTATTTTATCTTGTCTATCAAGAGCAGCTTCAACAGCATCAAAGAATTCTTCTTCATTAATCAGACTATTAGGACCTTCCTATGCCATGAAATGAAAGAGTGAAATGTCAAAAATAATGTTGTATTTGAGAAAACTGAGCTCAATGTAAAAAAAATGAAGGCCAGATAACTCGCATGTTGTGTTTATTTCAATATTTATAAAGTCCTATTTTTTTGGGATAAAGCATGCAAATAGAAATGTATACCTAGTGTTACTTATGCAATCAATTTTTCAGAAATCATGCAACTCTGAAGAGACTCAACATTTAATAAAATTCTTAGACTAATTAAAGAAAACAGAAGAACTGCCTATACAAATTAAAGTTTTTTTTATGTTTGGTCACAGGCTAAGAAATGCAAAATTAAAGACCACAAAGTTAACATATTTCACCAAAGGTTCAGGTTCTATATCGACTCCCAACCCAATCATTTGATTATTTAAGAGGTTATTTTTCAAAACACAACATCTGAAAAAAAATAGAAACAAATTTAAAATTAACATATAATGCCATTACAGGCTTCCAGCCCTAAGGATGTATTTACACATGCTCCAGAGTACGGGTGGGAGCACTTTAGAGTGGCTCCGACAGTCACTCTAATTAAAGTGCCTGGAGTGTCTCATGTATCAGTGTCCCCTGCTTCAAGACAGCGGTGGAGGCACTTTATCTAAAGCTCATTGAATGAGCTTTAGTTAAAGCACCCCCAACACCATTTTGAAGCACAAGGATGCTGATATGCAAGATGTGAAAACTGGCTGGAGTGTGGTAATTACCACGCTCCAGCAGACTCAATTAATCAAGTCTGCTCCAACGTGCTGTAATTACAGCACGTTGGAGCAGCCTCCTGGCTTGTGTACAGTGACCCAAAGACACTGATAGCATGAACAGAAAGTATACCAAGAAAAATGTGGGAGAGACGGGCTTTACTGTGTATCCACTCCCATCCTGTGGAAAGCAAGGGTTTAAGTTTATGAACCAGGGACAACAGCAAATTAAAACCGATTTAACTGAGTTAGCTTCATACTAAGCTATAAATGCCTCCAAATATAAAGTTTTCCACTACATGTTGTACAAATGACCAGCCCTCAAACAGAGGAAAAAGTAGCAAGGGGAGAAAATATGAAATGGATGATACGTCTGGCTTACATCAAACATGTATCTAGAAAGTCTTATCAAAAGAAATTCCCAAGAGCTTTAAGCAAAATGTTTTTTTAAAAAAACCCTGTTCACATAACTAAAATGTATTTATTCTGTTCCTCTCATTCCCCAACTTTTCCTGCTGCTGGAGGAGTATTTGATAAATATTAAACAAAAGAGATGCCAGTTATGTGGGAGTATAGTGTCATTTAGCCACATAGGCACATACTGCCTTTGTATTTTTTATTGAAGTCTTGATATTTTTACACAAAGATTAAAAGCTTACGAAGTCAGAAACATGCATCATTCATACCTCATAATCTGGTCCTCCAAAATGGGATTTTTTCTTAAGTTCTGTCATGGCATTTTTGTATGCCTCTTCTATTCTTCTCCTTTTTTCAATTTCCTACAGGAACACACAATCAGATTTGAAACTGTTTATCCAAACCGTATGTTATCAGCAAATATGCCAGAAGATGTCATGGCCAATGTGTGGGTTTACAAAAAAACCTCAACACACAAAACCCCAACATTCTGGATTATTTTCACCTGGTTTTTTACTTCATTGATTCTTTAGCCCCTGTACCAGCATTAGGATTTAAGCACATTATGCAACCACAGGTACATGCACACAGTATGAACATATTTAATCGTTCTGTTTTTCAAAAGAGCATATACAGAAAATGCGTTTAATCTTCTGCAGAATACTGCATTTACCTTTCAAAGGCCAGGAAATGTGCTGGAGGGTCTTATAAATAGTAGTACTGTATAGTACACTTCAATTAGGGCAAATATTCATCTGAATAATTTATTAAAAAAAATCTCAATGCAAATATAAAGGGTCTAGTAGATTTTTGTTAAACAATAGCTACAGATGACTTGGCTATAGAAACTTGAGATTTAGCAGAGTCATGTTTGCTAACAGCATGCATTTTTCTAGACTAAGTAATAATTTCAAGACGAAGCCAGTGACATCAAAATGCCCTTATTCATTGTAAAGGAAAACATAGTAATGATGATTAATTTACATTTCTTCATATGCAGACCCTTCAGAAAAGCTGAGCTCAAGAGATGAACTCAGGGAGGTCAAGCATAACCAAGTAGAAATAGTAGAAACTGAAATGTCAGTAAAGCATCAAAACTAGGATGAATGTGGGTTTTGGATAGCAAAAGGACCAGATATTGGCAATGATGTGCTTGTATTTCTTTGCTTACCTCTTTTCTTTTCCTAACAGCTGATTTAAAAAAAAAAAGCCATATGGCATAATATCATAACAGGCTCTGAGTAAAGAGTCTATAGTACTAAGGTAAAAACAAAAATTCATTGCAACCAATTTCCTTCCTGCTTAAATAGCTCTCAAAATAAAAGGTCCAAACTGTAGCTGTAACTATTACGATTACTTTAGGCTTATTTAATTTATTACATATTTTTGTATTCATTTGCTTCTGGCTGCTGTTGCCTTGGGAACAAAAAGTAATTGTAAATTTTAGTATTTTATATTTAACTAGACAAGTGCAGCACTTCAGCAGCACCTTCTCAATATTCAAGAGTTTTCATGATGAATTCCTAATTTTTAGAGGTTTGGAAATTAGCACAGAGAAACATGGTCTACAGGTTTAGAAGTTTAGGAGTGGGGGAGGGAAAGC